CTTTCCTTGTATGTTTTCTTTTCTCCATCCCCTTTGTAACTGTATGATCGTTTGCGATTTTCTGAGACTACGACTGGAGGACAACAGATAAAAAATAGTAAACAATAAAGAAGATATACATTGAACTTCAGCAGCCGCATTCATTTGAACCTTGCCCTCAAAATGAGATTCTGAGGCAGCTATATTGTCAGCGACCACACCATCAAACTTCCTCAGCTCTCTGATTGATGAAGCTTTTTCTATTAGAGGTTAATAAGTACAATTTTCATAAGAATATGTAACGATCAAGCAGGTCTATTGCAGCGGACCATTAGAAGTTCAGAACTTCATATGATATTCATACTGAAGTTGTAAGTGAAGATAGTTCAGCTTCTTACAGATTGCCTTAAATGAAGATGGTGTGTTATGACAACAAAATGTTATTCAAAGAAGCTAGAGACGAGAAAATCAACATAAAATCATGCAAATCCTGAAAATAAAGAATTAAATAAAAGGATACTGGTTTGAGCAGATTTTTTCCTCTCCTTCCGTGGAGGTTTTTTATTTACTGCAGGGCCATGAAGCTCCGGACTAATAACGTCTATAGAACTTAGGTATTTACAAAGCTCTGCAAGGAAGAAACAATGTGAGTGCAATTAGATTTGGTTAAAAGTGATAAGAGGATGCATTTTAGTTGATGATGGGGAAAGATCGGACACTAGTACCAGTAGCAATACAACAACACGAGATACATCAAATTACGTGAGAAGACTCTGTTGCTTGTCCGAATTCTCCACAGAAAACTAAAGAATTTCATCATAAAGTATAACAGTAATTGTGTGAAAAGAATTACAAATACAAATGGTAACCTCACTGAGCTTGATAAATGTTATCCAATAATCTGTTTAGATCAGACTCAATTTTACCGGACTATCTTAATCAGTAAGCTCAATTCTTCTATATGCGGCTCCCAAAATCAGATCATCAAATTCGGATTTCGCAAAGGATGACTCAGAGACATGAAAAATACTTTTAACACATAAAGACAGATACAACCATATGATCAATATTCCATACATGATAGCACTTTGTCTGTAGTTCTGCACACATATTGCTTAACCTTGATTAACATTATTCTTTATTTTGTTCAAAGCAATACAACCGAGAAAAATTTAATTTCCAAAATAAATGAAAAACAACAATTGACATGAAAAATACAGGTCACAACTGAATTAAATTAGAAACCTGCATGTGCAGCATAATGACTGGTCCTTATTGGCTTTTTGCATAAGTTGCAGCACACCTACAAGAGAAATAAACATACACTCACTACTCTGGAATTAGAAATTCCTACACACATTTGTTGATGCTAGTTTTTATTCAAAGGTTGATAGCCGGTTTAGTAAAAATATGGCATGAGGTAATATTATGTCCTAACAAGTATATCACAGACTACATAGATCAATCATTGACTTAGTAATAACCCTATCTTCATTACCCTATTCTATGAACCTCAAGAATCATGACCTGAAACTTATACTGATAAGCGTTCAACTATTAACCATGCCTAACAGTAGCTTTCAGGATAACTTTAAGCCCTTTGTTTCGCCTAATAATGAAGCACAATAAAGCAGACTAAAGGAACCGGCTATACCAAACAAAAGGTTTCACCTGTCTTGTTCTACATGTTGGTATTCAGTATCATACTAAACACCCTTTTATTCCATAAAGTGTTTCAGTATTTCTTATCATGAACTTGTATTAGTTTAAACCAAATGTTGCGCATTGAATGATTCCCAAACAACTTTCAACTTTTGGACCCTCATTATAAGCCATAATATTAGCTTCTCAATTCCGAGCTATGATTCAGATAAAAATATCTCAACATCTACAGTTTTTCACGTTAGATGATACTTTTTTTCATTGCGATGAAACTAAAATGGGTCCACTGTGGAAGACGTTACACAGTTTTTTGTGTATCATGTTCAATATGTTAGCAGTAGGAATTAAACAAAGCAACAGAAGTGTGGTAAAATACTCCTATACAATGACGAAATACAAGATTTAACACATTAACACTATGAAAAGTAAAGCTTCAAAATAAAAGGCATACTGAGCAAGTTTCAAAACCTTACCAAATCCAAAAAATCTGTCATTGGCCTCAAACCAAAAATATGCATATCTACAAAATCAAAATGAAGTCAAGAACTCTGAATCCCAAGTTACGTCCAAAATAGCCTGTGACGATATATACTGTGTCACACCGTTATAAAGGAAAGTGAAATATTGATGATGTCCTTGCATTACCTAATCTCAGACTGTTTGTTTACGATTTAGACAAAATATTGACATCTAACATAATCCTGAAATATGTACACATCAGATAACAGTTTTGAACCTTAGCTATGGTTGGATGCTCTTTCATATTTCCAAAATTAACTCAAACAGAACTGCAATTTCAATACATCATAACTCCTATTTTGTTTATTATTACTCAATAGCTATAACAAATGCAATCAAAATGGCCATCTCAAATAGAATTAAAAAGTAAACCCCTTTCTTTTCTCAAGAAAGTATATTAGCTTCTAATTTCTTTCCATTATATGATGAACACTAGCAAAGGAAAATAGCACATGTGTTTAACTTATTTAAAAACTTATTTAAAAAACATTTTAATATCAACAATTTCTACACCTACATTCATTTTTGCACAACACGACATTGTACAAGTCCATGTCGGACTTACAGTTCACTTGCGAATATCAAAATCAAAATAAGGACTACCTTCTTCATCAAGCAAATTTGCTTCATCAGCCTCCTGAATTTCTCGCCTTATGTATGTTGCAGTTAACTTTCCGGACCCTATTTCCTCTGAGGAGAGATTAAGAGCAAAAGAGCTAGATTTAGAGACGGATCGATATTGCACACAATGTGAAGTTGTCGTATGTACAGTCCAACTTTTTTTTTATTTCACATAATGCGCAATTGGGACATGATATCTCTACTGACAGTTGGCTCACCTCACAGATTAAAATTAGAAACTTAGATGAACGTTACTACAAATTACAAGCGAATTAATCAATATACAAAGTATGTCTCTCATGAATTAACCTTCAATATATGATGTAATCATGCCTCATTCACAAAAAATAAAATAAATAAATAAATAAATAAAGAAAAAAAAAATTTAAGCTAGGCCACACCTTTACCCATTACACTCTGTGAGTGTGAGACAGTTCCAGTATCCAGAAGCCTGGGCAAGGCTGTCATTTTCCCACTTCCGATAGAGCATACCATCAAAAATCGAAATCAGTACCTCCAAACTCCTAGCATATGTGGAAAAAGAACAGAAAGTACACCGTTATACACACACCCTTAAAACACAAATAAGATCATTTGAAAGCAAACACCAGAAGTTATATGAAATTACTCGCAAGGTCATTTTACTGAGAATTGATGATTGGTGGTCAATGCTTACTGGTCCTCAAAGTGAAATGTAATGAAATGAGCAAACTCTTTTCCAGGCACAATTGAATATCAAATGTCTAGTCGATTCTAAAGGTATTTCTCTGATTTCCTAATAGGGACATCCAGAATAATCATTTACTTCTCTATACAACAACAACAACAACATACCCAGTATATTCGCAACATATCCAGAATAATCAATTACTTCTCTATATGGAAATATTTTCTAGACAATAGACCAGAAACCGAGTATGATAACCAATTCTCTGCCTTTCATTAAAAAGAAATATTTTTAAGTGATTTAACTTTCACTACTATGTACAAGGAAAAAAAAAAGAGAACAGAGAAGATTAGCTAGATCAGTTCTTTGGAAGTTCATAACAGTTTTGGATTCGCAAGTGCGCTCTGGTGAAAATTTTGGTTTTTTTTCTAACACTTGCAATAGATTTTTTAGTTTATTTTTCGAAAAGATAAATTTTCTAGGGAACCCCTCTCCCAGCTCAACCAAACACCTCCACAAGATAAACGAAAATTGCATCAGGCACTGAAAGTTAATTATAACATATATATTCTTAACACAAACAACATCTTGAGGGGTGGTTTTGCAGAGGTTTAGAAAACATGTGAATGCATGTCCAAAGAAGGCTTTAAAGTTTGTAACATCAGGCACTGACAATATTCTATAGATGTCATATACGCTTTCCAGGAATAACAGAGAGTAAAAATGGACACTGTACATGAATACAAGGATAAAGAAAAGCACACCAGATAGCAAAGCAATAGAATATATGGAACACCAAAGAGAACAATGTGAAGGATTGTATAGTGTTTTCTCTTGTAAAAAATGCATTAACGGTTAAAGATAAAACTCCACTCTCAACCCTTCAAAAAGAAAATGGAAAAAAAAAAAGATACAGAAACAGCATTCTTATTTTCCTTTTCTTCCCGCTCAAGCACTTTACAACATCCGCAAACCAATGTACTATGAAAATCCAATTCCCACATGCATTATGTAGACAAAACATCTACATTATCGCGGTACTAAACAGGAAACAAAACCAACCCTCCCATAATAATTCAAAAAAAAAAGTATTTTTATAAATATCAAACACGCAGATAATCCATTCTAAATTAACGGGAAAAAAATTAAACAATACAAAAAATAATAAGATTCTAAATTCAAAATGTGCATTACCTCAGCTTTCAAAGATCTGATCCCCAAAAAACTTCAGAAGGAAAAGAAAAGCAAAAAATAATAAAAAATAATTTTTCATTGAACCGTGACACGAAGAATCTAAAACAACTTGGTTATCCGAAATGAATTATCATGATCAAGAAAATTGTAATGTAGAATATGCGAAGCGTAACAAATGGGAGAATTTTCAATCTTCTGAGATTGTTTTGTATCCAGGGTTTAATGAAGAAAAAAAAAGAAGTAAGAAAGAAGAAGAAGAAGAAAATCTCTCCTTCTGTGATTTTCTCACTCTTATTCAGAGGGGGAATAATTGAAACGATGCTGCAATAGAAGAGTAAGCAACAAATACTAGCAAATTTCCCATATCATGCGGTTCTATGCAGTGCCGCATTATAAGTCGAAATCGTTGAAAGGGATGAGTGCGCTTTAGTTGCGGTACAAAATGCTAAGGGGGCGTTTGCTTACAATTTTTTTTAGTCGATACTCAATACATACTCAAAATCTAATAATTCAACCTTAACAGAACTTCACGATCCTCACTGTAATTAAATAACTAGTACGAATTCCGTGTGATTCACGGATAAAAGATAATTATTAATATTTATAAATTACAAATTTTATTAAAGAATATTATAAATTGAAAATATGTAATATATACAATGTACCTATATTAATTTATTAAAAATATTATATAAAATTTAAATTGTGCAAAATTTATAGAATTTAGATCGTCCAAAATTACATAAAAATGACTATTTAAAATAAGTACACAACCCGCGCGCTGCATATAACTGATGATAAATTATATTATATTCGTTTCAAAATATGTGTCATCTCAAAATTTTTATTATGAAATTCGATTTGAATATAACATAATTCCATAAAATAATTATTTTGGTAAAATTTTATTCTATATTTAAAAACTTATGTGAATAATAAATATAAAGATAAAACTTATATTGTTTTTTTAATTAATATGAATTTATTTTTATATAAAATATCAAAATCAAAATATTTAAGTAGTTGAGTAAAAAAAATCAGTCATAAGATTTTTTATGCCAAAAAAATCAACACTCCTTATCAGACTAAAAAAATGAACACTCATTTCACACAAAAATTATTTGAAATTTCATAACAAAAAATAAATTAAATCGAGACCCAATAATTATACAAAAAAAAATGACCAGAGCTTTTTCTATAAAAAAAAATATCAATATACGCACATTATATCAAAATATCCGTTCATATCATTTTGTCGGAGTTACGTTAATTTTATTATGTTAATTTCATACGAAAAATTAAAACTAATGCGTAAAAACCAATATATTAGCCTGCTCATTACAGAAAAAAGTACACCGTATATTGATTAATTTTTCAACAAATTTTCTACCAAAAGACAGTCATCAAATAACCCGAATAAATTTGGTCACTTTATACCATATATTGATTAATTTATTTCTTATAGAAAAATAACCATCAATCAATACCAAAAATAAATTTGTCCACTTTATACCATATATTAATTAATTCACATGATTTGAACAATTAAGGTATATTAAAATATGACTTAATTACTTCCTAAATAATGAATTGCAATTTCCATAAGTGATCATTTGATATATACCATAAATTATTAAATTAATTTCCCAAAATAGTAAATAGATTTTTTTAGGGAAATAGTTACTATATAAAAAATAATCCAAACCTATTTATATATAAATAGATATCATTCAATAATTCTTACACATCACATCAATATAACTCACTATTCATCCACTCACATAATTTTAACTTTTCATCACTTCACAACATCTCTCTTCTACTTTAACATCAAATCAACTTTAATTATTATTTTGAAATATTATTTTAGTATAAACTTAAAATTCCACTAACAATTACTATACCACCTTTTTCAAATTAACTCTGATTAACTAAAAAAATTCGTTTTAACTGGATATACTTATATCCAAGCGCGCCCAAAGGGCTAAGGGCATGTTTGATTTAAGTTTAACATAACCAACAGGTCAAACAAACCACCAGCTAGGGTCTACTGATTGGAAAGCCAAGACCGTTGTTGGTTGCAGTTTTAAAAATAACACGAGATGAAGAAGTGTAGCAAACAAAACTTATTTTTAATGAAAAAAAGATATTAAAAACAATATGAAGTGTGAATAGTTCTCAAAACAATGCTTTAGAGACTTATATAAGGACCTCAAACACTTAGAGCATGTTTGGATACAAAATTTTTCAAAAAAATCCAAACATTTTTAACTCAACCATTTTTTTAACTCAACTTTAACTCAACCTCACTATCATCAATATTATCAATATAATTAAATAATATCAATCAATCATTCTTACACACCACCTTACCTTAATTCACTATTCATCCACTCACATAATTTTAACTAACCATCACTTCAAATTTTCTCTCACCTACTTTACATCAAATCAACTTTAATCATTTTATTTTAAATATTATTTAATATACCCATTAACAACTAACCATACCAACTTTTTCAAAATTAACCAAACCAAACAAAAAAATCCAAACAAAACCAAAATTTTTTATATCCAATCATCCTCTTAAAAATCATATTAAAATAAAAAAATAAAATGAAGAACTCGTCCTTTATGATTTTCGGCGACGATCACCTTTTGAATGATCATCGGCAGCCCAAAAACTCAATGTCTACATGTTCTACATCAATCTCCCCACTTGAAAAGAACTGGACCTCGAGTCCGCATAACAAGAAGGATCCGAGGGAAAAATAGCACGATAAGTCAACCACATTGAAAGTGTGAGATATGCCCAATCACCTTGGGCAAACTAACTACATATAGGCACCACCATTAATCTTACACACAATTTCATATGGTTCATACTCCTTAGTTTATAGTTTGTGGTTGCTTGTTGAGTATCCAGAGTCAGAGCCAAGACTAACAAAGGATGGAACGAAAAAAAAGCACCAATCCACTCGATTGAATTAGCTATTAGGGTGCAAAAGGCTAAGTTTAAAGATTTCGTATTCAAAGCGCGGAACTGGACAACAGACAAATGCTCACGCCAAAGAAAAATCATCACCCAATCACAAACCTCGAACAACTTAATGCATCGATGTTTATCAACCACCTCATTAAATTTCTGAGTCGTCTCCATCAACTTCTCATGAACTTTTGCTTGTACTTAAAGTGATTTTTTTGCCAAATTAACTGCACTCGTCCTATAACCATCCACTTGTGACAACTTCACTAAATCAACCAAATTTCGATAAACTTTCTGGTAAACAATGCAAAAAGGTGACTTTCCCACTGAACTAAGAACAACACAATTAAAGGTAAGCTCCACCCCGCTGCGATATGATTAAATTTGTTAAGTTATTCGATGCACACATGAATTAACATTCTTCACTAAACCAACAACTGGTATCAGAGCTCGGCTAATTCGGTTTTTGTGTGCACTTTAAGTTAGTTTACGTGAACATACGTGAAATAACTATGTACCCGCAGCGCATAATAGTATAGAATTGCAAATCTTGAGTTTTTGTAGGAATTCTAAGTCCGACTATTATGGCTTGAATGTATGAGTTTTATTTTTGTTGTATGTTTGCGTTTTAAAAGCCTCAGACATGTCGGAGAATTTTTTAGGTGGTGAATGATTGAAATAATTAAATGTGTGGTGGGACACCGCATAGTATACTGTTTTATTAGAAAACATTAATGTACGGTCCCTGCATGGATCATAGGTCGATTATATATAATTGTTTTTTATTATATTTATAATCTATCTCAAAAATTGAGGACGAATCCAGACGATCGAGGACACGACCGAGCAACCCCGAGAGAGGTGAGCCCAGATCGTGACTCGCGGTTGTCGGAGCATGTCGAGTCGAGCATACGGTGGCGCGTTCGTAGGTAGTTCACTTCCGCACGCAAATGCTGTCAGGGCGTGCGCAGTTGACCTCGTGCGACTGGGACAAAATACGGGTCGGATGCGGCTGGGTGATGGGACTGCATGTTGTAGCGGGATAGCGTAGAGATGAGAGCGAGCGCTTCAATGCGCTGGCTCGAGCGTCAGACCGTGCAAGGCCCAACAGCATGCGATGCGCGGAAGTCTCAAGAAGCAGTGCTGCAGAAATTTAGGTCCCTGGGTGACTGTCCCGTGGCCGGTGGTGATCGTGCGCGTGTTGCATGCAAGAAACCTAGGTGCTAAGCTGGCAGCGTGCGATTGTCACGTGCGCGCCGGAGCCCCGCGTGATGTCTCCGCATGCGATGTCGAGACACGATGCGGCAGCGGCTGTGGCGTGTTGAGACGTCGATGTCAATCCCTGATGCGACAACAACGACGATGGCATAATTTTTCCACGGCAACCAATTTTTTTTCGACGACCTAGTGGCGGCGGTCCAGCAACAGCGGCGGCAGCTGGTTACCTATCGCAGAAGAAAAGTGGGAGTTGCATGGAACAAGATTCCAAGTCCAAAGGAGCTAGAGTTCTACAAGGACTAGAATCCTAGTTTTCAAATTGGATTGGGATTAGAGGCCATAATAGTGGGATATCTTTCTTAGTTTATTATGTCTCTAATTTTGCATGTGCCTTAATTATTATTTTTATTATTGTGAAAGAATAATTAATTTTGATAGGAGCATGCTTAGGAGAATCCCTTAACTAAAATTATGCTTAAGTGCATTGTTTGGAATGAAATAAATTTAAATAATTCCACGGCCTCCATTATAGGTTTTTCGGTAAAATGATTAATATTTGTGCATTGGCATTAGGGCCTTCCTCCACTATTGGAAAAACTTTAATCACAGTTCACAAAGACAAATCTCTTTCGGGATGGCAGTAGAAAACTATTTCAAAAGCGTACTAGCTTTCCACCCGCGGACGTACAATTTTGGTAGTGGACTTACTACCAAGTAATGAATCACACTTATAGTACATTTAATTATGGTCTCCCACCGGAGTAGCCATTTTTATCAGTGTGGGCCAAAAGGTGGACCGACTATTAATTAAGTGTGAGAAATTCAAAAGGTCAACACAAGTAATTAATGGGGTAAAACCCTCCTCTTGCGACGGTATGAACCATAGACGTCCACACCACCGTGACCTGCGAAGATTTGGTATTTTGAAGTGTCGGTGAATTTAATTATTATTTAAGGGATCAATATTTGATGACTAATTTCGAAAACTTGACTAAATAAAATTTCATTTGCATGATCTCAGGATTTCATAATTTTTCTGAATCTTTTGTGATTTTCAAAGAAAATAAACTTACTTTTTCAAACTATATTGCCTGGAAAAGGAATTTGGACATTGTGTGAACTGTGTAAGGGTAGAAGTA